ATTTAAAAAAAAAAAAAAAAAAAAATAATGTTAAAATAATTATAAAAAAAAGTAAAAAGAATATAAAATGGCAAAATTGTATTTTCAAGTTTTTTTGAACCAAAACCATAGAAAAATCTTGATTTTAGACCATCCATGCAAGTTGGAAACTTTTTGGATCTTATCCAAAGTTTTTTGAATACCACGGGGACCTATTTTACAGTTTCGTCTATTTTTTAGTTGGCATGAGAGGCCTTGGTAGGGGTGAGCAAACCCAAACCAACAAACCGAGAAACCGACTAAAACCGACTAAAACCGAAACCGAAAAAACCGAAAAAACCAAAACCGAAGCAAAACCGACGGTTAAGGTTTGGATTTTTTAAATACCGAAAAGTCGGGTTTGGTTTCGGTTTTTACCCAGAAACCGACCCATCCAACCCGAGAAACCGACCCATACTTAAAACCGACAAACCGCCCCAAGAAACCGACCCATCCAACCCGAGAAACCGACTCATACTTGATTGTTTTTTTGGTTATAATAGACTATTTCGGGTTTTGGTTGTAACTTGTAGTAGACTATTTGGTTGTAAGACTCATGTTTTTTGAAGTATTTAACTTCAATTTGGTGTTTTTGAAGTATTTTACTTATTGCTTCGTTTTTGGGAAATGGGTTAAAACCCAAAACCCATGGGTTTAAACCCAGAACCCGTGAGTGTATGGGTTGAACCCAAAAACCGAAAAACCGACCTCAGAACCCAAGAAACCGAACCGACCAGAAACCGATCATATTGGGTACTGAAAACCAGAAACCGAACATTTATGGGTTGGGTTGAGTTTGGGTCCAAAACCGATCCAAACCGACCCATGCACAACCTTAAGCCTTGGGCTAAAAAAAAAAAAAGTCGTAGCCTCAATTCGTATGCAGCAAAATGGGACGTGAATTCCTCACGCTTTTCATGCAAAAATGGGTTCTTTGGCACTTTTGGTCCATATGTCTAAGGACAATTTAAGTTTCTAAAATCTTATATTTAGTCCTTCATAAAAAAAAATTATTATTATTATTATTATTATTATTATTATAAATAATCGATTCAAACTCTTTAAATTTTTATATAATTCCTTTTATTTATTTAACTTGTTTATTTGGCCTTAAAATTTTATTCTTAAATGTTTCATTATTTTTACCATTTATTAAACTCCTTCGCCAATCAATAAAAAAGAAAATGAGGTGTTATAGTCCGAGTAAGTAAAAGAAAAGTGTGACCATGCATCATTAAAGTGAACTGCATAGTAAATAAATAAATGAACAACAGACTAGCCCCAGCTCCAGTTTTCCCATAATAGATGATCAAAACTCTACTAGGTTGCACATCTCACCACGAAGTAGATGTCTAATAGATGTTTTAATAGGACAATATTTTCTCTTATTATAGTGAGTTAAAAGGGTCGCGCAAGGTGACTCGGACCCATATTTGACATGTAGCCATGAGCTTGGTCCTACCCGGACCCTAGATTCGACATATTGTTGCGAGTTTGGTCATACTTAGACCCCCATATTGGCATGCAACCGTGAGCTAAAGAAAATAATAATAAGATTTTGGATGACCCGTAACTCTGCATTGTGTAATGACATGCATTGTATAGTCAATATTTTCTTTATATGAAACTTCTTAAAGTAAAGATTTATCAAATGTTTGACAATGATTTTGTGTCTAAACACATGTAACTCACGAGACACTTTTATCATATGTTTTGTTTAAAAATTATGTATCTCATGTTCAGGTTTGAAGGATTAAAAGGCTATGACTTATAAAAATGAGCCTTTGAAGGATAGAAGTTGGACTTGGTTTTTGTCATGTATATTTATTACTTTACTATGAGTTTGTTTGTTATCAGATGTACCACTCAATGTTGGGTTTTCTTTGAAAATGGTGGAAGGAAACGTGGTGTGTTTTAAATATGGATATAATTATAAACACCCGTTTTTCCCCCTTTTTTTTCCCCAGTTTAGGAACACAAGTTTTTTTTATCACCCTATTCTTCTTTTTTTTTTTCAAACTTGGGAACATGAAAATACAATTTTTTTTTCTTTTACTTTCTCTTCATTTCTTTCCTTTACTAAACTCAGGAAACTAGGCCTAAGTCATAAACGTTTTTAAAACCATAGTAATTAATTGTCGTGTATTGCATGCTTAAAATTGATATGAATCAACAACAAAATAGATTATGGACAATCTATCTAGATAGAAAGATAATCGATCAAACAAAATTCAAATCGTGTCAAATTAAACTCCCGCAAGAAGTATACCAATAATCGATTCAAACGTAAGGCATCATCAGTTTACTATCGAAGAAAAATAATCAACCACGACTTTTTCATTAAAGTAAGCGAGAACAAGAAAAATACAGAGAACGTGTGATATGAGATTGATGCAGGGCTTGGAATTTGGGCTTGTATTGAACAATGAACAATTTCTTCTAATAAAATGAGTTTTGGGCTTGAATAATCAGATTAGATCCAACAAGAACTTGAAGAGTAACATATCACAATAGATTGGGCTTGAATTCAAATCAAATTGAGAATAAAAAGAACTTTAACTGAATTTATGAACATTATTCCACGAAAATTGAGAGACTCACAAAAAATTGTCGAAAATTGAGTCGAAAATCAAATCGATATCAATCCTTGAATCAATCGCTTATAACTTTAAAGAATGACTCTGATACAAATTGTGATGACACAAAACACGAATTTAACATGTGGAATGTAAGATCAAGACAATCAACAATATGATTTCAGTGTTAAAAGATGTATTCGATTATGATGAATTGAAAAAAAAAATCTATATCTAAATCTATATAAAATTAATTTAACTCATAACTCTTTATAAATTATATTGTTCAAACATCCCTACAATTGATATAACAATGACTATATATATCTGGTACATGTATTAATTTCCATTGTCATCTTAATAAAAATTAATATTTGTTTTTACTGGAAATTAATATCAAACTAATATATTAACCTACCCTCATATATCACATCCGAATTAATATATTAACCTTACCTCATAGGTGAGGCTCATATAACCCATCCGAAAGATATTCACAAACTATATCCAAACATTAAATTTGTGCATCTCTCTTGGATGAGATAAGTGAGGGTAGGTTAATATATCAATTTGATATTGACATTGATTTTAATTAAAAATAAATGTTCAATTTTATTAAAAAAAAATATCAAATCAGTTGAAATTTTGGATCATATATTTATCCGACCTACCAAGCAAATTTTTTAATAGCATATAAACCATATTCATAAATGAAAAAAACGGATCTCAAGTTTTAGTTATTTTTTATACCACATGGACATGGACCATTTATGTAAGTTAAAACAGCTGCTTTCAGAGTTTCAGTACACAATTGATTCTATTCTCCCAAATTGTGTAGCTGATGGATTCACATTCACAGGATCAAATCCTTAAAGAAATCCCCGGACTCATTCGAGTATACAAAGATGGTCGATTCCAGAAACTCTCCGGCACCGATGTTGTTCCCGCCGGCATCGATCCTTCTTCCGGCGTCCAATCCAAAGACGTCGTCATCTCACCTGAAACCAACATCTTCGCTAGGCTTTACCTTCCCAAAACCACCACCAAAAAGCTCCCTCTTCTAATCTACTACCACGGCGGCGGATTCGTCATCGAAACCGCCGCTTCCCCCGTCTACCATAACTTCTTAAATCTCGTCGCAGCTGAATCCAACGTCGTCATAGTTTCCGTTGACTACCGAACGGCGCCGGAGCATGTCCTCCCCACCTGCTTCGACGATTCATGGGAAGCAATCAAGTGGGTCGCTCAACACATCAACAGTAATGGACCTGAGCCATGGCTTAATGACTACGCCGATCTTCAACAGGTATTCTTCGCCGGCGACAGCGCAGGCGCCAATATCTCCCACCACATGGCAATCCGGGTCGGGTTAGAAAAACCGGGCTTGAGCATATTCCTACGGGGTATTATCCTGCTCCACCCGTATTTTTGGGGAAAAGATCGAATCGGGTCTGAAGATGAGCATCCATGGAAGGCATCTATGGAAGATATATGGACCTTTGCCCACCCGGGAACAAGTGGGTTCGATGACCCGTGGATTAACCCGGATATGGATCCGAAAATTTCGGATATTGGATGCTCCAGGGTACTGGTTTGTGTTGCTGAGAAAGATCTGTTCAAGCATAGGGGATGGTATTATAAGGATATTTTGGGTAAAAATGGGTGGAAGGGAGATATTGATGTGATTGAGGATAAAGGGGAGGACCATGTGTTTTTCCTTTTTAAACCTTCTGCTGAGAGTGCTTGTACTTTGCGCAAGAGAATTTGTACTTTCATCAATGATGCCTAATCATGCAAATCTCAATCACTATATGTAATAGAATAATGAAATTTTATTGGCACCGATTTTCTATACATGTGTTTTAATTTTGTTTAACAATTATAAAAGATATAAATGATCATAATAATTCCGTTCATATTATTTTTGAATTATAATATTTTTGGATTAAAATATTTTGAATCATAGTTTTTTGTATTATATCATTTTTGAATCATATAATCCAAATATATATTCAATTAAATGAAATTTTTGTTCAAAAAAAATTATGTATTATTATATATTATGGATCATTTAATTTTTGAATCATAAAAAATATAGTTAAACATTATAAATTATTTGAATCTAAATATTTTTAAATTATAACAAATTAAGGATCATAAACAAGTAGATAGAAAAGTTTTTTGAATCATAAATATTTTGAATCATTACATTTTTTATTTGTTCAATATATTTTTTTATAAAACTAATATTTCTTAAATTTAAAAATAAACACTTCAAAAACTTATTTTTGAAAAAATATTTTTACAAAGTGACTATATAATGAGTAGAAGTATCCCTTAAATTTTCATGATTTTTAGAGAATTTTTTTTTAGTTTTTTTACAAAAAAATAAAAATAAAAATAAAAAAAATAATAAAAATTACTATGACAACAAAGAAGAGTAGTTTAACAGGAATGTATTTTCATGATTTTTAGAGATTTTTTTTGAGTTTTTTTACAAAAAATAAAAATAAAAATAAAAATGACTATGACAACAAAGAAGAGTAGTTTAAAAGGAATGTGACTTTCCATTTGTAGTGAATAGAAAAAGGGATAATGACTTAAAATGGTAACATATTATTCGATTTGTACATATTTGGTCACTGAGTTTTTTTTTCGTCCACATTTACCCCTTAAACTTGTTAAACTGTACACATTTAGTCCTTATGACCTGTTACTCCAGGTTAGCCGGGAAAAATGACTTGATAGGGTAATATATTTTTCATTTTGTACACATTTAGTCCTTAATATTTTTGTATATATTTAGTCCTTAACAATTTTTTTGTTTCAAAATAAGTCATTTTTTTTGTACTCATTCAGTACTTATGAATGATTTCTTTAGGTTTTTTTCACGACATCTTACGTGAGACAATTATTGATGAGGTGCTTGGGGTTGTTGATGCTTATGTCCAATGCGATCTCGACTGCTTGGTTGCGTAAGTCTTGT